TAAATTTGGATTTCTATGTAATATATATATATATATAATTAATACAAATAAAAGGTTTGTTACTTAGCTGATCGATGTTACCTTCATCATCCTGACTCCAGAGTTTCATAGATGAGCCCATCTGTCCATTTGTCTGGGGGTATAAGCAATATTATTTATACTTCTTGATTTTTCTTATGAAAATGAGGAAAAATGGATTGTCACTGGTCAGTAATAAATGTCTATTACTGACAGAATAGAGCTGCTATATGTCTAAGGGAAATGCATTATTAATGATTTTTTTTACTATAGAATAACATTGCAAGTAATTTTAGTATGAAAGTATTTTATTATAGAAAAATATTTGTAATTGAGGCATAAACAGATTGGTATTTGGTGTTGATCAGGAATTAATGTAAGATTTCAAAAATAGGCCTAATTTAGGACATGAAGCGAAAAGTATTTTGTTTTTGAAATAGACTTTCTTAATGGTCAGTTTTAGATAATTGTCTAATTTTATTTATTTACGGCTTTTACAGGAAGCTCTCAGGATGCTGTCAGTTCGACATCAGTTAATGAAGTGTCAAATGCTTGTCAGCCGCAACAAAATTTGGTGCCACAAACTAAACCTCCAGAATTTCTTGCCTCTTCACCTGTTTTACCCATTGTCCCTAATTTATCAGTGCCTCCACCACCGCCAGAACTCTTCCTATCAAAATTGGCCTTACCTCCCCCACACCTTCCTCCTCCTCCTCCGCCCCCACCTCCTCCTGCTCCTAGTGAAGAACCGCCTGAGAAATATTCATTATTATTGCCACCCAAACACCTCCCTAAAGAATTACAAACTCCAAAAGTGAAGACTAAATTTGAGTATGCAAAAGTGATGTCTGCTCAGGCTATGTTCCCAGTTGGATTTGATGCCAGACTTTCTTCACAGTCACAGACTGTCACAGACAACCAACAGGTTCCAACACTTAATAAAGCTTCAAGTTCTTCGAGCAGAAATCAGCCAAATGCAGAAAAAATTACAGGTAAATATGAACAAAAATTACAGGTAAATATGAACAAAAATTACAGGTAAATATGAACAAAAATTACAGGTAAATATGAACAAAAATTACAGGTAAATATTAAAAAAAAAAAAAATTTGAAAAAAATCTATATTTCTTTTATATTTTATTTATTTTATTCATGAGGATGGGTCAAAAAGTAATGCAGTTTGTTTTATTATATCAAATAAGGGACACAATTCAACATGTCGTACATCAAGATATAGGTATACATCACAGGTTCACATCCCTACTTCTCAACAGTCACCACCTCTTTCAATGGTAGTGTTCTACTTACAAACGAGAGCATGTATCTGAGCTTTCTAAGACTGCTGGCTGCTGATGTAGCTTCAATTCTTCATCACCACCTGACTTAGCACTCTCAGACTTTCATCTCTGTGCTCCAATGAAAACCACACTAAGCAGCAAACATGGTGTCATAAAATTGATTAATATATTTAAAAGACATAAAATGCCTATTCTTTTTAATAAGATATGTTTGCATGAAAAATAGGTCCCAAAATATATTGATTTTAAATATTTCAGTTTGTTCTTTATGGGTTATCAACCCTTTGTGGATTAATGAATGCTGAAACATGTTTTGGGGATTGTAAGAATTATTGTTGTTTTTTTTTATTTTTTATTTGTTTTTGCGAATGAATATTGCATTAAAAATTTATTGAGGAAAAACAATGATTTTTCTAGATACAAGTCCTATTATTTAACCCTTAGCTGGAGGGATAGGATATGGATTTAGACCTTTCCCAAGGATATTTGCGTGTAACTGAGTATAACATGTTTGACTAGATGATTTTATATTTACAACATTCTAAAAACTAATACATTTGTATTAAAACTAATGCAATGCAATATTTATCATATACCAATTTATAAAGAAATAAATACATAAACAGTAATAGAGTTGGGATAGAAAATTCTTCTTCATGTAACATATTTGTACCAGACTTTGCATCATCAGATTATTGCTTTGATTAATGAAGCATTTCTTTTCTACTCAAAAATCTAAAGATGTTTTCAGTGTTGAAAAAATCTTTGACAAGTTTATTGCGTTGTAGTCTGAGTAAATTTTTATCAAGCGGAAATATAAAATCTTCCAGAATGTTGTCATAAGGTCATTGAAAGTCAAGGAAAATATTTTGATGAGTAATAAATACACATATAAATTAGTAATTTACTAATTTCAATAAAAAAAATATTCTTAGAACATCTGCAGCTGTCTAATATTTATAAGAGTGGGTTGATGGATTATATGACATATCAACTGTTGTTAGGTTTTCTTTTCAAATTAAAACCTGTTTTATATTATACTTATGTCTCTAGTAAGCATTGGTTGAATTGCTACTTAAGTTTAATCATCAGTTGGATTTTTACTTGAGTTAATAGGTAAACACAGTAAGGTTTTTACTTTGGTCTGTGCAGAAATCTCTGTTAGATTTATACTTGAGTCAGGTAGATATAGGTTCGGTTTCTACTTGAGTCAATAGGTATACTTTGGTCAGGATTCTTCTTGAGTCAATAGGTATACATTGGTCGGGATTCTGCTTGAGTCAATGGGTATACATTGGTCGGGATTCTACTTGAGTCAATGGGTAAACATTGGTCGGGATTCTACTTGAGTCAATGGGTAAACATTGGTCGGGATTCTACTTGAGTCAATGGGTAAACATTGGTCGGGATTCTACTTGAGTCAATGGGAAAACATTGGTCGGGTTTCTACTTGAGTCAATAGGTAGACATTGGTTAGATTTCTATTCTACTCTAGTCTACATTCTTGCATCTGGAATGTAGTGACAATTTTTTTCAGTTTTGATCTGGGTGCAATATGTGTTTTCATATCAAATTTTTCAAGTTGTGTAAGATCTTGTGATGACGTAACACTCATACTAGTGAATTGTGTCTATACGTCGGACCATTGTTTCACAAAGCATTTTTACTTCAGGGTGCACTTGAGTTATTCATTGTCAAATTAACAAGGGTCTGACCATCACTGACACAGATTTTTTCACATTCGGTACACTTATAGAATTTCATGTTACAAATTGAATGGTTTACATCTCTAGGACAAAGGGTTCCCAAGATATGATACTTTGACTTTGCCAAAAAGGTGAATTTTGAAAAATAGTCACAAAGTTTAAATATCAATATCTCAGTTAATTTTTCACCTACAATGCTAAATTATATACCATTTTCAAGTACTTGGGTAGATCTAAAAGGTGATATATTTATTTTTTTGTTTAAGGTAAAATAAGATAATTTGACCTTAAACTTAACCTTTAATTTCTCAAAAAGTGTATCTTTAATTTTTTTAAAAATTTGACATCAAATTTGTCTGCCTTATGGCAAGATATGTACAAAAGTTTTGGTAGACTTTTGACTGTGGTCTGAGTTAGAAGAGTTTTACTGTGCTGAGCCAAATTCAAAATGGCAGATTTGGGTATTTGCCACTATATGCTAACACTTTTATATCTCCCAATATGGTCAAAGTTGTATGTTTTTAGAAAGCTCTTGGAATGCTGATTAATATTCACATAAGATCTATGATCATAAAATCAATAATTTGTTATTTGTGGTTGACTGTTGACCAATTCAGTGGAAAATAAACTTATTTTTGGTTTTGTTTACATTTTTTTATACAACAAATAGATTTTTATATGAAAAAGTGATATAATGAAAATAATAATTTTAAAAAAGTGTCATGAATTAATGTTAAAATAAGATGAAAATATGCAAAAAATGATGTTAATGTTTAACAAATCTTTGTTGACATTTAACATGGTACACTAAATGTTTAAATAGAAAATAAAAATTTAGATATGCAAACCACTTACTTTTTCATTTAAAGTTTTTGTGATGACCAATCTTAATTGTATTTTTTATTTAAGGTTATTTTAAGAAATTCTCTTTCTTAAAATATTTGAAGTTTTTTCCATTTCAATTTTTGAAGGTTTATAAATTCTTCCAGTGTCAGCTATTGGAGCAACTAAACTAAGAATATCAGAATAATTCAAAGTTAATATGTCTGGATGTAATGGACAACAGAAAGATGGGAATGGGCTCTTCAGTTGCAAAAATGTCAATTTTAACTCTTCATTACCAGGATATTTTTCAAGCACACATCCTAACCACCAATTCCTATCATAGATTGCTGTAACAATCCCTTAATGTTTTCAAATTCTATATTGTCCTGTTTTATAATTTTAATTATTTTTCTTTTATCCTGTTTTTACTTCTATCTCTTCCTAAAACATAGGTATGTCCTGGGTATGACGATAAACTACATCCATGTCCTAGGTAAGACGATAAACTACGTCCAGCAGCAAGGCCTCTGATCAGGAGGCTTTGAGGAGTGTGGAACCACCTCTTAATTGCTGGTGTTCCCAGGTCCACCCTGACCCAGGGTGGTAGCACTTGTTAGGGTCCCAGATATGGGCAAATAATTAACAACCAAACTTGTATAAAAATAGGTTTTAATACCAGAAATACTTTGTAAAAAAATAAAAAATTAGTAACAATAATTTTTGAAGGAAAAATTATCGGTAATACTTAAAAAGAAAAATACCATCAATACAAACAGCTTTACATTTAAAGAAAAAAAAAAACATTAGCAGCTATAGATTTCTTGAAGGAAAAATATTCTCAGAAATAGATTTTTGAAGAAAAAAAATATTCCCAAAAAATAGATTTTTGGAAAAAAGAAATATTACCAGCAATAAAAATTTTTGTCTGCATTAAATAACCCATTGAGGTTGATATGCCATATAACAAACAAACAAACTAAAACATAGAAATAAAACTATGTAATTTTTGAGTTCCAGTAACTGTTGGAGCATTTTTTAATCTATTTTCTAAGATTTCTGCTTTGTCTGTTGAAGAATAAAAAATATTTATGCCTAAGATGTTTTTTCTTGCATAATAAAACAACTGTCTTGGTGTCATTATTTGTTCATTATAGGGTCGCTGCAGACTTGCATTTGCTGCTAATCTCTTAATAGTGCCACCTAACATGTCACACAATCCTTTCCCATGAGATGTAGCAAAAAAGTGCCATTTTGCATCAATACCAAAGTCAGCCTTATGACTGCACAAATTGATAACATTTTTATAATGTGAAGTGGCACCATCAAGCAAATAGATCAGATTTTTTATTTTAAAATTACAAGTTTTTTTCAGTAATTCTATAAGTTTTCTTTGGAACAAATGGACAGCTATTGTGTTATGCTTGAGACAATCTGATATAATTACAATATTAATATGCTCCAGCTCTTTGTTATTTTTGTAATAACAGACAAATGGATGTAATGTGGCTTGAGAATTATTTCAGTGGAAGCCTTGTGCAGCATCCTGTAAAATAAATGAATAATTTTCAGCAAAATATGCAATAACTATGACTTTACCATCCATCAAAGAATTTTTCTTAGAACAAAATTTTGATTGTTCTTTGACAATAAAATCACGTTTTTTTTAAGGTTAAAAGGCCTGCACAAAAAGTTTCAATAAATTCTTCTGTAGATTGTCATGCAGTTTGCAATATGTTTCTATCAGTTAATAGCCACCGTTTGTAGATAAAACCACCCTATTAAATTTTTATTTAGAATTTCTTCTATATATAAAACAAAATCCTCCATCAAATTGCTACAAGTTGAGCAGTCACCCAAGTTGCAGTTAGATGTTGCTTCATTGCCTTTAACAGCAGCTATATATTGGTGGTAATCTGTTAAATGATATTGTTCATCTTGAGTCAGTCTACCAAGATGAGTCCCCACAATCATCAGATTCATATTTTGATATTTTGTGCAAACACAGACACAGTGTGTTCCAGCGCCACCTGCTAGAATACATTCTTTTGGTCTGGGCTCAGCAAGTTTTGAAATACAAAAATTTGTTGCCTATTAACATCATTTGTTGCATATTTTCATATTATTTAGTGTTATCATAACGTTAATTGATGACGTTTTTTAAAT